GGCTCCAGTGAGATGAGCTCAACCTCGGGACAGAGTGGATCGTAGCGAAGAAGATCCATGACGTTCACTTAGTAGAGCGTGACGTCCTCCTGTCGGATGAAGTGAGCAAACTGACGGGGAGAAGTGAAGGAGATATCTGGGTGGGACCCAGAAGGACGAGGGTCCTGGGGAGGTAGGTTTGGAGGGGTGTCGCCCGTGGTTCCAATGAAGGGGACTCGATGGGTTTGACCACACTTCGTTTTGAGAATGAGTGTCTCAAACGCCCATTCGGCCTCTGTGCTACGGAACCGGCGAGACCAGGGAGTGCCAAGGATAAAGTCGTACCCAGTCTCCAGCACGTCAAAGTAGGCGGAGGAATGGTAGCACCGAGGCCCCTGGGTACTATCCGGTGGCTGGAGGGTGAGGGAGAAGTGGAGGTCGGGGACCGTCTGATCGAAGAAGCGCTGCGTCTTGTTATCTCCGAGGGTAACGGAGATAGGAGAGCGAGACCCAGAGGTAGCTAGGCGAGCTTCCTCAACCACTCGAGGGTGAACGAAATCTCCCTGCTAGCCAGAGTCCCATAAAGCTTGGTACACCCTCATAGATGTCCCTAGGCGAATAGGGATGATGGGTAGGGTGCGATCAGGGTCAGAGAGCAAGGCGAAAAGACGACGCAGGACGTTGATGTGTCTCGTGAGGCGCTCCTGACGAGCCTGCAGAATGCTCAAGTCCAAGAGAGATGACACAACGTTATCGCGAGTCGCCAGCTGAGCGCCACAACGGGTTGTGCGAATGGCGCGACGCGTCGGAAGTCTCAAGCGAGAAGCGCTAGATGCGGCAGTCTGCTGGGAGGCAGACGGTACCTCGATACACGATGGCGCGGAAAGAACTGCGTCTATCGTGTCCTGAGGGTCCTCTGGTGGGGTAGCCAAAGGGGCAAACCGCGACTCAGTGGTCGGAAAGCGGGCTACGTGCGAGGCCTTGGGGGCACAGTGCACCGTGGCTAGGTGGATGGGGCTGGTCGGGCGGGGCCGGGGGGGGACTGAGATCGACGCTGACGAGAGATGTCAGCATAGTGCCGATCGAGGGCGGTATGGTATGGACACCGTGAGGAGGTGTGTCCATCTAGGCGGCAACGAAGGCAGCCGCGCCGGGCCTCGAGGGCGGCACGCTCCTCAGGGGATAGAGCTCCGCGAGGAGGGACATAACCCTGCGGGAGGTCTATTTGAGGAACCGTGGGTATGCAGGCGCCAGCCTGTGCAACCCGACTACGAGCACGACCCATGGCAGACATGGCCATCAGCAAGCGCTCAGCCACCGGAACAGTGTCGTCATCCAAGTGATACTAGATGACGTCTCGTAGCTCGATGTCCTCGGGGGCGTCCCCAAGGGTAGGGTCAAACTCGGTCGAGGCATCCTCGCCGTACTCCAGAGAACTGTGGCGCTGAGAGAATGACGCTCCAGGGCGGGTCGGGCGATGAAAATGACCAGCAAATGAGGAGCGACCTCGGGTGGTACCCCGAGACTGAGAGGTGGCGGCTGGCCGCGAAGAGGATGGGGCGACGGAGAAGCGACTGCACATCCTCTGGTACTGACGCGCAGCCTCGTATGCCTGCTCCGCGGAAGAGAATGATCGCCTCCATAGCTCTAGGCGATAGTCAGTCGGCAGGCTGACAAGGAACCGGTCGGTGAGTGTGACCTCCGGTAGGAACGTCTCGTCACAAACAAGGCGAGCGTCCTGAAACACCCGGATGTGATGTTCCAGGTCGGCCGGTACAGAGGACCCGGACCATCTGGTCTGGGTGACGCGGTCTAAGGCATCGGTGGCGTCATGACGAGCGCCGAAACGGTCCTGAAGGAAGGCCGCGAAGTCGGCCAGRGTGGGGACCTCACCCACGCGGAGGCGCTGGGTATAATGATCCTCCCACGCAGTGGAAGGGCTACCTCGCAATTTGGTTGCGAGCACATCGCACCACAACTCCTGACGGGTGGTCGTCATAGAGAGCGTGCGCGTTGCTATCTGCAACCAGCGAGAGACACAGGTTGTGCCATCATACTCGGGAATGTCCGTGGTGCGCACAGGAGGATGTCCACTGTGCTGATGGCGGGGGAAGAGAGATCGAGGCGAGTGCACTGCGGCAGCGTAAGTCGAGGTCGCTGCAGGGGCAGGGGTGGGGGAAGGCTGTGGGCCGTGGCCGCTAGCGGATGGACCAGCAGACGAGGAGGCAACGGCCGCGGGCAGCTGTTCCGGAATAGCCAGGTAGGAGGGAAGAGGCTGAGGAGCAGGTCGAGGGAAACGAGCCTGCATCATGGGCACCGAAGGGGTGGTAGAGGAAGAAGGGTGGGCAGCCTGTGATGGGTGAGGCTGTCTCAGAGCAAGAATCTCCGCCTGAGCCTGCGCAATAGTGGCCTGTAAAGTGGCCACGCGCTGCGTGCGCGGGGTCGGAGGTGGAGGGGGCGGAGCGGGTCTCCCAGTGGGAGGAGGAATCCCAGCCTGGGCGGTACCCTGCTGTGGGGGTGGGGGGACAAAGGCGGGAAGAAGAGGGCGGAGCCGTATTGCCGCGACCGGTGCGGGAAGCTGGGAAGCAACACCGGTGTGGGGCGATGAAACTGTTGGGCCTCGAGGCGGTACCTCGACCGCAGCACCTACGGCAGTAGTAGAGACGGTAGGGGCGGCCGTGGCCGGGAGAACTGCCGCAACAGACGGGGTGGTCTAAGCGGCAACAGCACTCGCCACTGTTGCGGGGGAGTGTTGGGCCAGGCCCGTAGAGGAGGGGGAACCACGATGTCTCCGACTCTGGAGTCGTGGGGAGCCGGACTCGRAGCCGGTAGGGGATGGGGTATGGGAGCGGTGGGGAGAGTGATGAGGAGAGCCCTTGAGGCGGTTGACGTCAAGGGCAAGCGCATTGATTTGCGCTTGCAACGGTCCAAGCGTACTAAGTTGCGCCTGAATCGCTACGAGGGTGGCATGAAGGTCCATCGTGTCSGSATGGGCCTGACCCTGACCCGCTGGCTGAACGCTCACCTGGGAGGTGGACGGCGCCGCGGTGATCTCCTCAAAGGAACTCYCTTCCATGGTCGGAAGGGAAAGGGAGGTAGAGCTC